CGGCTCTAGTTTTATGGCGTAAAAGCTAAAATTTTTATCCTATTTTTCCATGCTTTGAATTTTTTTTTCTGGACACTTTCATTGCTCCACCAAAATTTATTTATGCTGTAAAATTTCGGCTGCTTTCTTTTCTTTTTTTCTTTTACGAAACAGAGATCTGAGATTCTTAGATTTTAAACTTTGTATGCATTGCTAATCTGTGCACATTGTTGCTATTATCATTCATGAGAAATAGTGTGAGGTAGTAAAACGTATCAAAAGCAAGTGTAGGGTTACTTCAAACTCTAATTGTTACTGTAAACTTTTGCGGAATGAATCGAAGAAGGCAATTTACATGCTGATTCATTTACATTGTTCTTCATTGTATTCAGTCCTTCATAGTATACACATGCAGTCCCATATCGCACCAGTTTTTTACCCAGCAGTCGATATTTTCTTATCGTATCAGGCGTGTCATTTAGGATCGTCAATCCAATAGGACCCCCATTTTTGTGTATGAATCAAAATCCCGAACATGATTCACAATCCCATATAGACTTCCTTGTTCCATATTGGATAACTTTCTAAAAATGAACCCACAGTCCCATATAAAATCCACAGCCCAATATAGGATCCAACGACACAGCTATAGCAGCGTCCGGCCTAGGCTGTCTATAGGCGGAGGTCGATCGTTACAGTTCCGATAGCATCGTTCTTGCCTTGCCGGCAAAACTCTGTAGCTATGTCACTGCTTCGTATGTTCATTGCTATATTCGAGCTGAGCGTATGGTTAATGCTGTACTTCGGTGTACTCAAGTGTCAGTTTGCTCGCTTGTTTGGTCAGCTGAATCGATCTTTAAAACTGGGTTATCGTTTTTTATATTCCCATTTTAGAGTGGCTTGGAACGTGCTTTAATAACCCGTCAAAGCGTAGATGAGTCTTCAGCAAAATCTAAGTAAAATGACCTTAGCGAGCCTCTAACTCCCCAGATCCTCGTGGAGATGTTTAACTTCAGAGACAAATTTAACCGCAAAAAGAAGCGGAAAATATCGGCTAATGATTTTGGTATTTTGGTCGAGGCGTAGGAGCGCTCACGTATCTAGTATTTATTGTACACGTTCTCATGTGAAATTAAGGGTTTTTAGTAAGAAAAGAGAGTGTCTCGCGGTGATAGAACATTAGTTTGAACATGTTCAAGAACGCTGTGTTGAACATTTGTCACTCCATGCACCGTATTAGTGCTGCGCTCAGCACCATCATCGCCTACTCGTGCTCTATTGTAGCAGCACTCTGGTATATAAGCCATTATTAAAACTTATATGAAACAACTAAATACTCCGACGGGACTAGGAGAGGAACTGAAGACAATATCTCGTGAGACGCTTTTATCCCGCCATAAATTTTACGTACATTGTAAGGGACAAATCGGCCAACGGTTATTTTAATGAGATCGTCAGCAACGCTGCAAAGCACCGGTCGAGGCTGGTGAGTTATGATGTCACCTTCATTTCCGGCGGCTAAAAGAGACTCCGTTATTTTGTTGATCTCTGTGATGCTTGCACTGCTCTTGTAATGACTTCTGCCGAGGGATTAACTCGTCAGTGTCTTTTTTCTCCGTCTACATTTCCTTCACCGTAAGTCTTCAAACTGTCGTTCTTCATTTGGAAATTCCTTGGTTTTATTGCCCCAGAAGATTGTGTCGTCATCCTGATGAATTTGCCTTTCATTCTAGGATCCATTTCAGTCGCATGCTCTCAGACAAATGAGTGATACTTTGTACAAATAGCGATGCATTTGTTGCTCCAGTGGGGGTTGTCATGACCAAGTATTCCTCCGTAGTAGAGCGTATCAGTGCTGCGTGCAGAAAGTGTCACTATTTGGGCAATATGACTCAATAATTTTTTTAGTGTGCGGGTATAATTATATTTTTGCAGATGCATTTGAAGTTTGTAGAGAAATCCTTCATTGTATCTGTTTATTTTCATGACGCATCGTATTTCTATGTCTCTGTTAAAATATTTGTGAGGTTTCTTCGAGTAGGTTACCAAAATATGCACTAGTATATACGTAGCAGAGTAGATATTATGATATACATATATTAGTTGAAATTATTAGTTATTGCTACACTCTAAAACCTGCGTACCGTTTGCATACTCTTGATTATTGTAGGTACTCATTTAGTGAAATATTCCTGAATAATGTGACGTATAATTAAGCATGTCACCTATGCTACTCATGACCTATACATGCTGCACACGAAGAGAATTAGTGCACACCTACTCTGAGCTAAATGTTAAAGCCTGTTTTCCTAAACTAGAAGCACAAGTATATTTGCTCACGACCCTTGAAGCCCTCAAAGCTCAGGAGCAGCTGCCGTCCTGCCCCTCATGAGCGCAAATGAGCGCTGCTTGGCCACTCGTCCCCTCACATGTTTTGAGTCCCGACCTTTGGAGCTCTTATAACCGCTTTAATTTTGTGAAAGGTCCTCAGCCTGCAGCGCGGCCAGCGCAGCGAGCGAAATTACCCTCGCTAATGTGTTCCTTTGAATATGTTCCTCGGGTGAGTTTCAACCCGTTTCTCGTTCTTGGATGCTATAAAATGTATTAAATTAATGAAAACGTAGTTTTGAAGTAGAGCTAATGGTGAACACAATACAGAAGAGACGGAATTTCACAATTCATGAGATACTGTTGGATAGTGAATGAACATCGTTGGCGTGCTCTTACCTGCAGTTTGAAGCTAGCGGGACTCAATATAATTTGTTATACCTCATCTGTTTCCTCGAACGTGCATTGCCAGTCTTCCGTATGAAACTGGTTTGAATAAGCCGTACTTGACTATGCCGAAATGGTGATTTTTGTGCATTTAGGAGAGGCATGTTCAAGTTAAGCATGTGGATGTCTTATATTATGTTATTTTAACTTAATGGGTAAAGAAGATTTTCATGGACAATTGGACCTGAAACAGAAGAAATGATCGTCAGAATTCGTTCACTTCTAGTGTTATATGTAGGAAAAGACCCTTTATTGCCCCATAATTCGGAGGGCAATTTGTCAACTACAGTACCTACTCTTTTGCAAGCCTTTATGCCATATCCTGGACCGTGTTCAGCGTCATACATCAAGTTACTCGAGTTACACGTTCAACTTATCCGAAATTTCCAGACACATTATTACCTCCGTCCAAGGTCTATATGATTTACGACCTACGACGAGGAGGTGCAGTTATAAAATTATGTATAACTGTTGATGAGGTAGTAACAGTGTTCCTATGTAACTTAGATAAAGCTTAGCACCCTCACACTGACTTCCATTTACTGACCTTCTCAATCCTCGTGAGTTTTTGGTTAAAAGGTCACGCTAGCTTGCAGTGCGCCATTCATTCACTATTCGCTTTATTGACAAACATCATTTGGTTCCGATAGTGATCTTCCAGAAGCTAGCTATTCAGTATGATTAAACTTCAAAGATCACTCATTCTTGAGATTCAAGCCTTGATAAAAAAAATTGTATTGAATTTTTTCTCCATATATCATAAAATTCTGTTGTGTTGATGCATGAAAAGCCTTAATTTGGGAGAACGTCTGACCATCCATGCTTGTTTATGCACCTCAATGAAACAAACGGTCGTTCGAACGCAATTTGTATGAAAGCATCCCATCAAGAAACACTTGGTCAAGTTAGAAAACTGATACATGCACAATAAGGAGTGGAGGCATTAAAAACTCTTTTCTGAGAGCATTTATATAAATTCAGGACCATTGCTGAAGAACCGATTACTAACTGCAGTAGCTTCAAGCATGGACTATGGATTACTTGCCAACCGAGAAGTCTTGCCTCAACGATCGCCGCTTTATTTATTGACGCATCGAAGTCGTGATTCATGGCCGCCTCCAATTTATTGACGTACACGAGAAGAACTATGTGCCTTTGTGAGTCACTTTTGTGGCCTTTAGAGTTTCAGTGATAGATTATATATGCTGTGGAATTGCTTTCGCGTTACTGCGTTCAAGAATTCTACTGAAGTTGTGTTAGTCCAGTTGCATGTCGCCGTTGTTGTTTTTTCATTGCTCTATTAAAATTAAAAATAATTTTTTACAGCTGCGCCTGTTAGGTTAGCACATGCTTAGTAGACATTAATATCATGACTTATTATTAAGTTCATCCTATAGCACTCAGATTACTATTGATTTGATGTCGCTGCTTTGGAAACCTAAACAAATATTCTGTCCATTATAAAATGCAATAGATTATAGATTTATTACGTCATTAGAATGAATATTTTCATGAATTTGATTTCATGAGGTGTGTACGTAAAAGTTGCACAAATCATCGACTATAATATTCTGTTGCCACATGTCATTCTGTACTTTGATACTGAAGTACAATAACATTAATCTAACCGAATGTGTATCCAGTAGTTCTATCTCAAGTGCCGCTACAAGTTTTATCACTTTAGTCCAGCTTCATTGTTTCGTCAACTGCGGACGATCGATGCGTGGGCAAAGCTATCTGCCAGCGTCCAGACTACTTCTGAAAACTGCTATCTATTCCGGCAACAACAGTAGGCCTGAGTTTATGTTATATAGTGTGTTTTTTGTGTTTCTGCTCGCTATCATGCTCTGCAGTCCTAGACATAATAAAACAACGTTGTGCATTTTATATCTTGTCTTCATTAAGTTGTTTAGTATACTATTCTATGCCGCTCTACTGTACAAAGCTAACACTTCGAGCAGCCTTTATACTGGCTGAGGCTTCCTCCCGAGCAAAAATTTCGCTTGTGGTGGTGTTTTCTTCATCGTTGATCGAAGGCGATGTCTACTCTAAATTGCTGCCTGAAGTTCTTGTTCCGTTCTAAGGCTGATTTTTCAATAAATAATACGGTACAATATTTTCCGTGTGTGAACTCTTTCTGGCGTGTGACTTATTAGTAAATTAAATACATTCTAAAAACCAGAAAGTTGTGCAATGAATCATCTGCAGTGAAGTAAAAAATTTGGTATATTTCCAGTGTAGTTTAATGTGCAGTGTAAGACTCTTCAAACACGTTTGGAGCTCGTAAGTATTTCTGAACTCTCGCACCAGTGACTGCAATCAAGTATGTTGAGCCTATGCTTGTGATTTATAAATCCTGGCTTTTTTTGATGTTGGGCTTACTTAAGAAATGAAATTCTAAGCATATATATTATCGCGTCCTGATGAACATGACAACCTTGTCAGTCAACGCCAACAGCAGTCGCCTGACGAGCAGTAGAGACGATGGACCGCGCATCCCGTGTCTCTCAGGTGACCAATCCTTATCTATCTCATCTCACTCTATTTGTCTCGCTTTGTAATTGATACATTGTCGCGATATGGACTTTTCAACGAATCGAGGCTATATTTTTTTTCACTTCTCATGTTGTCACAAGTCAATATTTTATATAGTTCAAATCACATTTTTAACGAACTTATTTAGGCAGGACGAACTCTCGTTCATATATCAGTAGCATATCACGGAACGGATGTTCTCGAGCATTTGACGACGTTCCCGGAATGCGTCCGCGTTATCAAAATTTTCTCAAACAGACCTTTAAATTTTGCAAAGTTCAATGACTATTTTCCATCACCGGCTATCGCAGTTTCATCAAGAGAATTTTAGTAGTTTTAAAGTTTAACTATAAAAATGTAATCGCTCATAAACGGTCACCAAACTTGTCTCTATAGATATACCGTTAACACTGATGACACCCGTAATGCTCGAAAGCGTTAGCGTAGTGTATGCAAACCTTGTTAGGCGCGGCGAGTGTTTCCCATTAATCTTGTAAGGCTATTTTTGCAACAAGTTTTGCAAGCAATAGTTGGACGGTGTTAGTGGACCTTTGGGAGGGGGGGAAAAGAGCCGCTCGAGTCTCCACCGCTGCAGAACAAAATCGACCTCACAGGTGCGACCAGTTTAGTGTTTTAGGAACTTTTTTGTTTTTTGGAACTGTCTGTCAAGAATAATTCTCAGCACCATGAGCTCTACTCGAATTAAGTTAGGTCAGCGTTAGCCGAACTTTTGTTTTGTTAATGTTAGAATTGAATTGTGTAATTTTCATCGGAGACACGAATTGTTTGGAAAAGTAAAAATCATCGTAAATTTTTCTGTGTTAGGAAGAGAGGCGCTAGTCATTGTACTGTTAAACCTCCAAACATTTTTCTTCACCACATTCATTTTCTTCACCAAACTGTAAAACCTCCAACCATTTCTCCACCACATTTTTGTCTGTTGTAACCACCTCGTGGACAGGTATAGTTAAGAAGTGTTGTTGCAGAGCGGTGGTGGGGTGGAGGTGGAGGGGACATGCGCTACCACAAGGGGGGTTTGAGCGCCCTCGCCTCACTGCCGTCCCACCTCTTCGACAGGGAGGGCCTGCTGCTGCTCAGAGAACGCAGCGACTCCTTCTTCAGGAGGGCTGAAGGTGAGTATTATCCCAAGCCAAGTATGAGTTCCCTCCTTACCTAATTATTTATTTGTTGAGTTTTAGATAAATTTCACGTTCTATGAGCAATATTCATTGAAAATAAATAGCTGTGTGAAATAATTTCGGTTAGGTGTGATCCATTTTTTAACTTTTTTACAATATGTTTCATTGCTCTAATTTCTGATCTCACTAATTATCAATGAACAAATAAAGATATGTTACGAGTGCATGAAGTCATCTTATGCAGCCCCATGCGGTCCCTGCATGTATCAGTGCTACATGCAGAAAGTGTGTTACAATGTAGACAATGTGACCCACTAATTTTCCTGAGTTTACGCTTAAGCTGCTAACCGTTTATCCAGTCAATCAATTGAAAGCATCTAACAGCTAGGGAAGCTTTCCAAGTATATAGGGCTCGAAAATGAAGTGCTGGCCATTGTCTCGGATCAAAGTCAGGTCTACCAACACTTCAATGTCAACTATAAATGCGTGCACTTTTATGAATGTCTGAAGTCAAGAGAAAGAAAAACAATCGTCATTTCAATACAGTTTTACATATATCAGCTTCATTTCTCGTGTAATTTGTTTGAATGAATTTGAACCTAAAGAAATAATTTCAGTTTAAACTTGTTTTTCCATGTTTTCTTTCGAAAATGCAATATTTCTTTCATTATGTTGTTGCAACATCTCTTTGCTCTGCACTTGACAATTTTTCGAACCTAGCTACGAGTGAACACAGCAAACAAATTCTTATTTGCGCTGATTGTCTCTCTTTCTTCAGTATTCAAAGTCACGCTGATCCTCCTTGTATTTTGACGAGTACAGCAGGAGTATTGATACTACGGTATTAGATATTTTATACCGTCGATATTCTTATATATCTACAAATATATTATGAATTTTATCAGTGAGCTGCGAGCGATGGTGTCGGCTGCGCGGCAATTTGCTCTTCTACCTGAAGAGTCGCGACCACTGGTCCGAGGCCTGCGGTGTTATAGTGCTCGAGCACTGCAAAGTTACTGTAGAGGACAGCGCCCCGCATGCCTTCACTATAGGTAACGTCTACACTCCTATACAATAGCGATACGAGCAAAACAATTTTATTGCTAAGCAATTCGTCAAATTTGTATTATACAGCTTCGAACTAGCGTGTGACCTGTGGCTTCATGAATTTACATACAAGGAACGCTCAATAAATTTCAATGTATATTTCATCGCTCTCTGCTTCGTAATGTTTATTAACTTTACATAGGATATTTTAAAAGTCCCTTTTGAGCGATTCTTTTCGCAAAATTTGTCATTTTGTTACAAGATTAAAATCGTGACAAAAGATTTTCCTGCAAGTCATTAGATTATAAACTGAAACGATGAACCTCTGAATCTTCTTTATCAGATTATTTGGATCGTTTGAGTAACATCAACAACTCAGAATCACTCGCTCTTATCCTCAATCTATGACAATAAATCCCATTACAAACGGTCCATTGAGAGGATAATATATAAAGCATAATATTTATTAATACGTAAAATAATAATGATAGTAATAATACAATATAAAGCAAGTGCACTGTTGCCATAGTGTGGGGAGGCGGGGGTGGTGGCCAGGTGTGTGAGGCTGCCAGTCAGGCTGACAGAGACGCCTGGGTGACGACCATCACACGCTGCGCTCCTGCAGCTCTCACGGCGCAGGTAACGCGTCCCGCTCTGATATCGTATTGATAAACCAAAGTTATTAATTAACAAATATTATTATAAAACCAATATTAGTACGAAACTAATATTACTAATAAACCAATATTATTATTAAATCAATATTATTATTAAACCATATTATTGTTAAATCAATATCATTATTAAACTAATATTATTATTAAAACAATATTATTATTAAACCATATTATTGTTAAATCAATATCATTATTAAACTAATATTATTATTAAAACAATAATATTATTAAACAAATATTATTATGAAACGAATATCATTAAACCAATATTATTATTAAACTAATATTATTATTAAAGAAATATTATTATGAAACGAATATCATCATTGAACCAATATTATTATTAAACTAATATTATTATTAAAGAAATATTATTATGAAACGAATATCATCATTAAACCAATATTATTATTAAACTAATATTATTATTAAACCAATATCATTATTAAGCTAATATTATTATTGGTATGTTACACAATATTATTATTAAATATTATTTCCAGTAAAATTATTTTGATCGGTCGTCAACTGGCAGTCCGGCTCCTAAATGCAGGGCCATGCGTATGACAAATGGAAAATTGATTTGATTTATAATGCACAGATTTTAAATGGTGAGAGCTACAGTAGTTGAAGATACAGAGTTGCCGAACCTAATTATTATTTTCCGTCGTATGATGCAGCGTCATGTTTTAGTTTGGACAATAGTTAACTTGTGCTTGTTGAAGAAGTTTGACCTTGTAAATGAGACTCGTACATCTCAATTGTCAGCCTTGCATTTCAAAGTTGGTGTATGTGATCGCGTTTTGGATTTAAGGAAGCTTCATGAAAACAATTCTATGTACTTTTTATGTAAATTGTGCAGCTTGCAAGCTTGCAGGAGGCAGTCGACAGCAAGAAGGCGTTTCTCGACGCTCGTATCGCTTCTGCTTCTAAAGCTGGGACAAGTAAGTGATATGTTATGTCGTGACCATCTATTGAGTGATGCTGCATGAAAAGTGCTAGAAGCTTTTAATATCACTAAGTTAATACTTGCGAGATACAGTTCATAATTTACTATCAGGAAGTCACTACAATAAATCTACTACTTGGTTTCACAGCCGGAAATTCACTGCCTAAAGATTACTTCGTGGACTGCACGGCCTGGGAATTGATACGAACTAACTTAGCATTAGTGTTACAAAGATGGCATGAAGCCTTGCAGCTCCGTCGCAAACAGGCAGTTCTAACAGTGTTTGTGTGACTCTCTGAATGAGGCTAGTGGCTGTCTCATCCATGAAGTGCAATTCTGTTGTTGCTACAAGTCCGATGCTTCTGTAATGGAGTACAATAATACAATGGATTGTAATACAAATTAATGTTTTATTGCAAAACAATTTTTCAAACTTTGCATTAAACAGCTTTGAACTAACGTGCACCCTGTGACTCTATGAACCATAATTAAATGCACAATTTAGTTCAGTGTTACTCAACGTATATGTGTGTTACCGGCAGACATACACAGCAGCAGCAGCGGCCGCTTGGAACTGTCGCTGTCCTGTGACAATCTGCCGTGTGTGGGGGCCAGTCTTCCTCCCGTGGCCTGTGCTGTGGTGCAGCTCATGCCACGTGATCATCACACGTGGAACACGTGCCATACAACTGAGGTTATCAAGGTGCTTATCGGGGCTATTGTAGTGCAGTGGTTAACGCCACTGTAGCGCGGTGGTTAACGCCATTGTAGTGCTGTGGTTAGCGCCACTGTAGCGCTGTGGTTAACGCCACTAGCTGTAGCGCTGTGGTTAACGCCACTGTAGCTCTGTGGTTAGCGCCAGTGTAGCGCGGTGGTTAACGCCACTGTAGCGCAGTGGTTTGCGCCACTGTAGCGCTGTGGTTAGCGCCACTGTAGCGCAGTGGTTAGCGCCACTGTAGCGCTGTGGTAGCGGTATCGATATGAGAGGAGCTGGCCGCGGGTTCGAGCCTTGGGAAGCTCAGTTCATTTCTTGGTGTCGCTGGTTTGCGGTTCTTAGTAACCGTCGCGGGTGGTGCTTGCAGCACGGCGTTCGGTTGGTGTCCCTAAACTAAATCAGAGTACGTGTTACCTGGGAGGATCTTAAGGGTCTCATGTGGCTTAGACAAGCAGGGTCTTGTAATACGCAGGTTATTGACATACGTTTGTGTTGCTGGTGGACAAGGAAGTATCGTTGCCCATGCATAAAAAGTCATTAAACTGGAAGATTGAATGAAGTACAAGTATCAGTAGTTACATAACCGAGCGCATGGCGCCATTTTCCATAAACAGCTTAAATCATAGGTTACCCCAATCCTACCCTCGAATATTACCAACAAAATTAACCAATTACTCCCGAATAAAACCTTCTTCAATATTATTACGAACAATTACCCCGA